AAACTATACTTATCCCTCTCTCTCTACAACCACTAAACTATACTTATCCCTCTCTTTCTACAACCACTAAACAATACTTATCCCTCTCTCTCTACAACCACTAAACTATACTTATCCCTCTCTCTCTAAAACCACTAAACTATACTTTTCCCCCTCTCTCTACAACTGCAAAACTATACGTGTTCCTCCCTCTCTACAACCACTCAACTATACTTATCCCTCTCTCTCTACAACCACTAAACTATACTTTTCCCCTCTCTCTACAACCGCTAAACTATACTTGTTCCTCCCACTTAAACTATACTTATCCCTCTCGCCCTACAGTTATACTCGTATCAAACTCTTCACCGTCATCCTACCAGGAAACAGCTGCTGCGAAAGCGATCGTACGGTGGAAGACCCTGCGGTGATATCTGGTGAGCCTGCACTTGTGGTGGACTTGCGCGATCGACGATCAAAGTTGGTGGTAACGCTATCATCAGCTGACCTGTTAGTCTCAGTAAACCCGGACTTTGTGGCTAAGGTGGCGCATTAATGGAGAGGAATGAGGTAGCATCGTTAGAACGATTCGTAGCGCTATATATGTGGTTATACAATTGCACAAGGGGTTGTGGTGGTGGTCTGAGGATCTTCGCTGGGGTATACAATGGTCTATACCACAGTAGCTACGATGCACAAATGTATGACACAATGCAACTGACAGACTCTGCACAACCAAATACATTCACATGAGGGATATATACATAAGTGTATATATAGCAGGCAGTTCTGAAGCCAAAGTGCCTTCTGAATATACACTCCCGTATTCAACGACGCAAATCAAAGTTTGTATTATTATCAAGGACGTGGAGATACCAAACAAAACCACCACATGATATCATTATACTTTAACCACATCATAAAGTATGAATTAGAATACTTATGGCTCCTACGATGGAGCTGAACAAAACAGTACTTCTCGGTTATGAACTTGAAAGAGTGCAAATGAACCGTGTGCTTAGGAGCCATGAATGGTTAGACTAAAATATTTG